ACCAGGCCGTGCTGCGCTGCATCTACGCCTACTTCATGAACAAGAGTCAGGCCGACAGCCCCTGGATGAACGTGCCCCTGCACACCCTCATCAAGCTCACCCCGCGCGCCTACGGAACCGAGGAGGTGCGCTACGAGGCTAACATCCCCGCGGTCAGCACCTGGCGCGGCAAGGGTTCTACGGCCAAGCACGAGAACCCGATTGCGGAGTGTACGTGAACAGAGTTCTTGAGATTGGTTTGTGCACCAAGATTGACTGAAGGATTGGAATAGGAACTCGAGGGAAACGGACGCAGGCGTGTCTGTCTTTTGCGGTCACAATTTCTGTGACTAGGACAGTTCGACGTCGATTTGAGATCTGCGCACGCGAAGGATTCCCTTTTTTCTCTTGACGACGACGACGCTTTCAGACCTCACTTTTCGGCATATTCCACTCGGTTCACGATGGCGTTTAGGGACAACACGGAGAGAGAGAGAAAAGATGACCTAGTACAGGGACGGCGGCAAAAAAACGCGGAGAGTGGTGGCATATCACGTCGGAGGGAATCCGACAACCATTCTCGATGGAACAAATGACCTTGCTTTTTTACCGGACCAGACGAACGTCAACACAGTGGCCGCATCATTCTGTTCACACTTCTCACCCAGAAGTGGGCTCCCACGCCTTCAGAGTCTTGCACTCACTGTCGCGATGCATCTACGGTCCGGTATCACAATTACTTTGCACTTGCTCAAGATCCTACAATTACTCTAGGACAAATGTTTTCGAGGTTCGACAATTCACAATCAAATGAAAGGGAACGAAAAGGGAGGGGACAAAAATTGCATCGATCGGACGGGGTGGTTACGCGGGCGGTTTAAGTGGTTGCGGACACCGGCATAGAGGTTCGGGTTAGGCCAAGGACCGTTTGACATCCGTCTCTGGGTGTGACGAGGGACTGGACAGTGGGACGTTTCCCCTGGCTGGTCTTCTTTACATGTTCCCTTTAGTTTCCCGGTTTCATAGCTTCATGAGGAATGTACCTACGTTAGGTACCAATGAATTTTTCTCGCGGTATTGTGACTAACATCAGAATTGCTATGCTTTCGTTCTTGCCGAGGTTGGTAATTGGGCATTACCTTATTGGAGATGGCGTTGATCGAGTTGGTTTGTGTGACTGCCCTCCTCCAGTCGCGTAAAACGAATCCCATAGGAGCTGGTTGACAATTCCCGGGCCAAACTCAACAATAATTCGTCGAGCATCTCGGCAAGAACAATATCTATTTCACGATCTTCTCAAGCTGCGGTCCTTGGGGGTAGCCTATATTCCAAGAAGTACTCGGTAATGTCTGTGTTGCAGCGACCTTGAGAAAACAGATAGCCAAACACAACGCCCAAGCATCTCGTAATTGAGAAAGTCCGAGTTTCAGATGAGTCATACGTTGAAAATCATCGTTTGAGGTGGCTTCTACCGTGATGGTCTCAATCATAAACTAAAAAGCTTGAATCCAATTTCAAGCTCTGCTCTAGAGCAGAAAAACCCAGGACGTCTACCTTCGTTCGAGCTGATGGAGGCGTTCAGGAATCCCGCATTTGGGGTTCAGCATCCGGTACGTACCTTTTGCCCCGCACCGCATTCCACCCGGGATGGATCAACCGCCTCCGTTATCAGCCCAGACTTTTCTGACCGATAAGAAAAAAAAATTACCAGGCGGGAGAGGGTCGACACTTTGGCTTTGGGAGCAGCTTGAGAGAAGTCCCTTCTGGCCGCCTTCACTGCACGGTTTTCTACAACGCAATTTTCGCATTGCAAAGAACCGCCACAAACACCACACAACATGGACGCCGCCACGAGCAAGAAGAGAAAGTCACGCGACTCCAATGGCGTGAAGGTCTCCAGCAAAAAGCGAGCCGCCGAGGCAGAGGTCCCCGCCGCCACGACGACCGCAGAGGCCCCCGCGAAGAAGTCCAAGAAGGTGAAGCGCAGCAAGCAGCCCGAGCCGGAATCCGACGATGAGGAGGAGCAAGTCTCGGCCGGCAGCGACGCCGAGGATGTCGAGAACGAGGAGGAGACGGCGGCCGCCAACTTCAAGACGGCGCAAGACGACGAAGACGAGGGCAACGGCTCCGACCTCGACGACGACGTCCACGCGCCCGCAAAGGACACCGCCGACGGCGAAAACGACATCCCCAACGCGCAGCAGCTCTCCCTCCCGCCCGCCGCCGGCGCCGAGGCCCACGATTTCGCCGAGCTCAACCTCTCCGAGAAGACGATGAAGGCCATTGGCGACATGGGCTTCACCAAGATGACGGAGATCCAGAGGCGGGGTATCCCCCCCTTGCTGAGCGGCAAGGACGTCCTAGGAGCAGCCAAGACGGGTTCCGGAAAGACGCTCGCGTTCCTCATCCCCGCCGTCGAGATGCTCAGCGCCCTGCGCTTCAAGCCGCGCAACGGCACGGGCGTCATCGTCGTCTCGCCCACCCGCGAGTTGGCGCTGCAGATCTTTGGTGTCGCGCGCGAACTGATGGCGCACCACTCCCAGACGTACGGCATCGTCATCGGCGGCGCGAACCGCCGCGCTGAAGCGGACAAGTTGCAAAAGGGCGTCAATTTGCTGATTGCCACGCCCGGCCGTCTGCTGGATCACCTGCAAAACACCCCCTTCGTCTTCAAGAACCTCAAGTCGCTCATCATTGACGAGGCCGACCGGATATTGGAAATCGGTTTCGAGGACGAGATGCGGCAGATTGTCAAGATTTTGCCAAAGAACGACCGCCAGACGATGCTCTTCTCCGCGACGCAGACGACGAAAGTCGAGGACCTGGCGCGTATCTCGCTGCGTCCCGGTCCCTTGTACGTGAACGTCGACGAGAAGCAGGAGCACAGCACCGTCGCGAACCTGGAGCAGGGGTACGTCCTCTGCGACGCGGATAAGCGGTTCCTGCTGCTGTTCTCTTTCCTGAAGCGTAACTTGAAGAAGAAGGTTATCGTCTTTTTCAGCAGTTGTAACTCTGTAAAGTACCACGCCGAGCTGCTCAACTATATCGATTTGCCGGTGCTGGATCTGCACGGCAAGCAGAAGCAGCAGAAGCGGACGAATACGTTTTTCGAGTTTTGCAACGCCAAGCAGGGTACGCTCATCTGCACTGACGTTGCCGCTCGTGGTTTGGATGTAAGTCACAATTGTTCTCAAAACAGGTAGATGGAAAGTGTACTGACGAAACTCTGTAGATCCCCGCAGTAGACTGGATCGTCCAGGTCGACCCCCCAGATGACCCGCGCGACTACATCCACCGCGTCGGCCGTACCGCCCGCGGCTCCAACAGCAAGGGCCGCTCCCTCATGTTCCTCCAGCCCAGCGAGGTCGGCTTCCTGACGCACCTCAAGGAGGCCCGCGTGCCCGTCGTCGAGTTCGACTTCCCCGCGAACAAGGTCGCCAACATTCAGTCCCTGCTCGAGAAGCTCATCAACCAGAACTACTACCTCAACAAGAGCGCCAAGGACGGCTACCGTTCCTACCTGCACGCGTACGCGTCGCACTCGCTGCGCACCGTGTTTGACGTGAATAAGCTGGATCTGGCTAAAGTGGCCAAGTCCTTTGGCTTCTCGACGCCGCCGCGGGTGGATATTACTGTGGGCGCGAGCATGAGTCGGGATAAGAAGACGCAGGGTAGGAGGGCGTATGGAAGTCAGCCTAGGAACCAGCAGAGTGGTACTGGTGGGTTTTATAAGAAGCGGTGAAGTGTTGAAGGGGGGGGAGATCAGTGGATGATGATGAAGAAGAAGAAGAAGAAGAAAATGGGAGGGACGAGAGGTTCTTGTTATTGCTGAGATGGCATGGTTCCTGTGAGAATAGATTTTGGTCAGCACGGCGTCGCGTTCATCAAAAATCATGATGGTCAAAAAATGGTAATTGGGACTTTGATTTGTTTTATAAGATTTTGGTCTGCTTATGATGTGTGATTGTGAACCGACCACTCGCTCGCCTGCAACGGAGGCAGAGCTCGCTTTTCGCTACGGACTTTTGACATGTTATCTAACTTAATTGACGAAGCTATGAGGTAGCTAGAGGATTCGTCGAGCTCGACATCTACTTCATGGACTAGAAGCGCACATCTTTCAGTATGAGGATGGCAATCTCGTTGCCAGGCTGGTTTACTTTTATTGGGCCCGTCAGCTAAATGATCGTGGCCAGAGAGGCTATGATAACTCGATGGTGAATATACAGAAGAGCTTACCAGAATACTTACTCTCTTGACCATGTTCTCCCAAACCGGCCATGGGCCCCAGACTGGGCTCCTCCCGTCTCATTGACTTGTCTCTTTGCCACACAATTCTCAATATCTACTCCATCTGGATAAGAGCTCAAATCAACCACATCATCAACCCAACCCATCGCATCCCACACCTTCTTTCCCACCTCCCCAGCGTTCCTTCCTTACTTGAGAGAAGATTCCTTGTAACCTTTTTTTTTTCCTTTTCCTGGGCCTCTGCTTTCTTCTTTTCTGCCCCATCCATACATCGACAAGAAATCGTATTTTGATACAAAGGGCGCATCGAAGGCAGGTCGCATACAAGCTTCACCCTTCCAACTAACAACAAACGAATCACCAGACTTATTTTCCGTCTACTTTTTCACCACAGCATCGACAATCAAAGTCAGCTTTGGGAAAAAGACTACAGTTCAGAGTATCAAAGTCAAGAGACAGCTGAAGAATTCACTCGAGGCCCAGCAAACGAGAAAGTTCACTCCAATCCACAATCCACAGTCACTCCGACCTTTACTTTCTGCTCTCTTCTTTGAAGACGGCCATTTTGTCAATCAGGCATCCAAAACCAGATCCAAAATCACAAACACAGACACGGCGATTAAGGAACTACAAAGTACTCACTCGACAAGCAACAAACAAACTCTCATCCAAGCTCACAGCCCAGCACGCACTACCATTCACCAGCAAACCCCACCATCCACACAAAGACGCGGTACCAAAGTCCATTCAAAAAGGAGCCACCAGAAAAGATGTGCACCTACACCTTCACCCTGCACACTGCTTGCATGCACAAGCAGTACCAAAACATGATGGAGTGCGTCCGCACCCGCACCGGCGACAGCACCACCCGATTCGGCACCTACAGGACCCTCCACGGCGAGCTCACCCTCAACAGGCCTGTCCATTTGCCCGAGAAGGAACCCTTTGACATTCCGCTCCGGGAGTGTCGCGCTCGGCCCCGGTTTGCCACGCGCCCTGTGTCTGGACTGTGTGGTGCTTGTAAGAGGGCGGAGAGGGAGAAGAGGGCTGCTAAGGCTCTAGGTGAGTTTTGATTTTACTTTATCTTTATCTTTGATTGTTTTTCTTCTTTTTGTTACAGTAGCCTGTCTCTATCCTGGTTCGGCAATTTTGCCAAGACGAGAACTCTAGGCACAAAGAAATTTTTGTAATACAGTATTCTTCGAGGTTATATTCGGTACTACTATTTTACCATGAGAGAATCTCTGTTATTCATCATTCTTCTCAATACGCATATACCATGCGGCGTACTCGCTAGGAAATCATGACTGACCAAGGCTGGTGATATAGAAGCTGAGCGAATAGCGGGGGTTGCCGATATGCCGGCGGGTGTGAGGACCAGCATCATGGGGTTGGAGACGCTGGTTGCTGCTACCAAGAGGATGGATCTGGAGGATTGAGGGCTATGATACATAGCCGATCACCTCAGCTCATCCTCTTGGGGGCAGCGACTGGCATGGAGTTTGGAGGAGTGGTTTATAAAGGCGTCGTTACGGAGAGCAAGGGAAGTGTGTTTTTTTGGGCCATTTAGGATGGACTTTTAGGAATGATACCCCCAGACGGAAGGATGAATTACGACGTCAATTGAGATTTTCTGGTCTTGATGAAGATGATTTCAGTTCCACGTCAATGTTGATGTGATGCAGAGATGGTGATGGTGATGTTGATGATGGATGTTGGTGGTGGAGGCCGGCGCCGAAGTGACACGGACGCGTGGGGCAAGACGGGGAAAGGGACTGTGGGGGAAAGAGCACCGAGGGGAGGGGGATCGGCGGGTCCATGCTTTCTTTTTCTTTTTCTTTTTTTCGGGGTTGGCACCCACGGCACCTCAGTCTGACGGTTCAGGGTCGGTGGCTTGGACTTGAAGAATGCGCCAGCCACTGATTTGTTTCTAGACTCGACCTCCCGTCTCCAGAGACAAATTGAAGACTCCGGCTGATAGGGTAGACCTTTTACTTGACGAGTGTGTCTCATTGGATGTGTTTGATTACTTCCCCAGAGCTGATTGAGCTGGTCCAAAAGAGGGGTCTTGTCTGCCGCCGTCGTACTACAGAAACGACACATGACACTTTGGGCGCTAATTGGCGAGCCATGTGCTACTTGGATCGTCTGGCGTCTGTCAGATTTGTTCTGGATCCCGGTCTACGTACCACTTCCACGCCTACCAAAAGTCGTTACGAAGTACCTGGGTACGGATGGTCTGAGGTGTTTAATGCTACTGTACAAGTACCTAGGTAGGTAGAATAAGACGCATAATGCAGGATTTAGTCAGACTTTTGAAGAGGAACGAACGCCAACCACAAGACAGATCAACAGCAGGTTCGTCCCGTTATTCGAGCATTCATGCGCAGATCGATGCAATCATAAGATGGGCAAGACGATATCAGGGGTCCCAGAAAGCGAGTGTGACGGTGCCAGTCAAACTCAATTGCTTCACTTCTGATGCTCTGGCGTGTTGAACATGGTCATGAATACCGTTCCCAGGTTGAATTGGTACGAATAGAGGTACCCTGACCAGACTGCCCCCCCTTATCCACCTGCCTTGAGTCCTTACCCCATGCACCTCGCACCCACGAAGAGGAAGTACCCCGGCCTCAGGTGACAGTGATGGATCCCAATCCTTCCAACAAGTTGGATTGCGCCAACACCAACAGGTATAGGTGCAGATGCGGTTGCAGATTGCAGACACCAACGACGCGCACTCACACCCTTTTCGCCTCTTACAGCCCACCTCACTACCTACATAGTATGTGTACGGGGTACGGAACACGAATGCGCCTTTGAGCCTTGCAGCATTCACTGCGCCCATTCCCATTCCCATTCCCACCCATCATTCAATCCCGTCCCCCATCTTCCTGGCTCAGGTCCTCCCCCCGCTTGGCCCCGTCGCAATCCACCAATACATCATACCTGGGCAGGCACCTCACCTCGCAAACCCACGTTTCTACCTATCTCCGTGCGCCCACCCCCATAACTCCAGCCGCAGCCAATTACTACCTACTACCTACTACCACTTACCTCACTACTCCCACCAACACCACCACTACGGCTACATCCTCACAGCATCACCACCCGAGCGAGCTCACATACCCGACCACTCGTATATCCTTCCCTTCGTAGCATCGCATCGTCTTTTTTCCCCCATTGCATTATTTCTTCTTTCTTGCATGCGTAATCCGTAATCGATCATAACCCCCCGCGCTACCGCTCGAAAATGGCCAAGAAAGCGCGCCAGAGAGTCAGCTATGGTATGTCTGTCGTGTGCATCTTCTGTCCGTGCCGCTCTGCTTGCTGTTGGTGCTCGTGTGCCCGCTGCGCTTCCGTCGCATGTTGGCTGAGGCCGGCGACCACAACCCCGCACGTCCTCTAGGACGAGCACCTCGGGTCTTGACCTTCATCGCGAGACTCGGGCCTGTCTGTAGCGTTCCTCGAGAACGTCAATGGCCTCGCTTGCTAATCACACACGGTCAAACAGTCCTCGAGCTCCCAGCTGGTTCGCAAGGCGGCGGTCACAGGCTAGGCGTCAATGGCCTCGCCGTCGACAAGGACAATGGCATCCTGTAAGATCCCGAGACCCGCGATACGAACCGCAGCTTTCCTGCTACCGCCTCCCACTCTTCCTCTCTGCCCCGCTGCCCGCTGACACTTCTCCGTTCGCAAACAGATACTCGGGAGCCCGCGATGGCTACATTTGCGCATGGGACCTCAACCTCAACCTCCAGACCGGCGGCAGCGTACCACCCCCCGAGACCAAGACCAAGACCGTCTTCCGCTCCCAGACTCAGGCGCACATGGCATGGATCAACGACATCGTCCTCGCCAACAACAACTCCGCCGTCGTCACCGCCTCCAACGACCTGACGGTTAAGGTCTGGCGCCCACACTCCGAGACGAACGATATCGCCGCGACCATTGGAGGACACGCCGACTATGTCAAGTGCGTTGCAACGCCCCCTGGCGGCTCCGTCAACTGGGTCGCCTCGGGTGGCTTCGATCGCAAGATATACCTGTGGGACTTGAACGGAGGAGGCAAGACTCTCGAGATCGACACCCAGGGCGACGAGGTTGCGGAGAAGGGCTCCATTTATGCCCTGAGCGTCGGCCATAGCATCATGGCCAACGGTGGCCCCGAGTCGGTTGTGCGGTTATGGGACCCTCGTTCCGGCAAGAGGGTGACCAAGTTCGTTGGTCACACGGATAACGTGCGCGGCGTCCTGCTCAACGAGGCCGGCGACAAGGTTCTTACGGCCAGTTCCGACCACACAATCAAGCTCTGGAGTGTCACGGCCGGACGTTGTATGTACACGTTCACCATGCACGAAGACAGCGTCTGGTCGCTCTTCTCGGACGACCCTGAGCTGGGCACTTTTTACAGTAGTGACAGGTCTGGTTTTGTTGTGAAGACGGACGTCCGCGGGAACCTCGAAGACCTCGACGACGGAATTTCTGTTGCTGTCGCGCACGAGTCTCATTCCATCAGCAAGGTTGTGGCAGCAGGTGATTACATCTGGACGGCAACCAACACTTCGTCCATCAACCGGTGGTCCAATATCGACACAGGCCCTGACCTACAGCTTCCCGAGGCCTTTCAACGCCAGCGGGCTGCATCCACGGCTTCGAGAACCAGACAACCCTCGAGTCCTCCACCTGCGAACCCCCCAAAGAAGGAAATCTCACCAAGATCGATCTTGCGCATCTCCAACACGGCAACATTCCCAGTACAAGCCGCTCCTGGCCCAGAATCTCCACCGGCAGTTGGGAATCATGTGCCGCACGGGACCGAACCCATCAACCAGAACCCGGAGGAGACCATTGAGGGCCAGTTCGGTTTGGTCAAACACAGGCTCTTGAACGACAGGAGGAGAGTCCTGACGCTAGACACGGCTGGTGACGTTCTCATGTGGGATCTCATCAAGGTATGCTGGCTCTCTGTGTGGCTCGAAGATGAATCACTGACCCTCGCAGTGCAAACCAATCCAAAAGTTTGCGAAAAAGCACCTAGAAGACGTTGAGGTAGAAGTCAACACCACGGAAGCCGTAGCCCCGTGGTGTTCCATCGACATCAGCTCCGGAAGTCTTACTGTGGTTCTGGAACCTTTCAACTGCTTCGATGCAGAGATGTATGCGGATGACCTAGAGTTGGAGGAGCCAGTAGAGTTCCGGGAGGACCAGAGAAGTAAGACGTTTGCTGGACTAAGAACGACCACATGCTAACTAAATTCTAGTCAATCTCGGAAAATGGATCCTTCGCTACCTGTTTGCTGGCTTGATTGATGAGGAAATCAAACGAGATGAAGCGTACCGTGCCACACTAAACGAAGCTGTAGAGCGGAGGTTACAAGCCAGCCGCGCGAACCCTCCTTCGTCAATAGCAATTCCGACCGACAATGCCTGGGATGAGAGTTCAGGAACGACACCACGTGCGAATGGCTCTCATTACCCCATGACACCGGGCATGGCTATTGGCCTCGCCACGCCAGGAGCTTCTGGCCGCCTTCACGACGTGCCAGAAGGAGCAGCCACTCCATCTAGTCCCCTTGACAACAAATCATCCCAGTTCAGCCGGCCGTCAACCGAGCGAGAAGACTACTTCACAAGTGCCATTGGGCCGATCGAGGGCGCTTCGAAGCCTACCGCAGCACCCGCCACGCCTGCCGAGCAAACAGCGGCTCCCGATGCCAAGACCCCGGCAGACGCAGGCAAAGACAAGGAGAAGGAGAAGGACAAGGAAAAGGACAAGGACAAAGATGCAACCAATGGAAAGTCGCCCAGCACGCCGTTTGGCAAGAAGTTCCGCATGGGTATGGGCATGTCTTTTGGAAGCAAGAAGAGTGGACGATCGGCGTCGACCACTGCGCCGGAGAAGCCAGCTGTGGTGGACGAGAAGGCCGAAGAATCCGAGGCATCATCGACCCACGAGAAGGAAGTCGATGACAGTTTCCTGGGCGCCATCCAGAAAATTCGTAATGATTACGACAAGTCACTGACTGAGAATCCCGAGAAGCTCATCGAGACAAAGGTCACGCCAAGCTTGGCGAACGACACACCGGTGCTCAAATTGCCTCCTGGAACAAAGGTTGTCCTCCAGGAAGAGACGACTGGTGGAAGTGCCAACATTTACCAGGGTACTGTTGAGACTGTCGGTCAGGGGGCGGATATCATTGAGCAATGTGGTCCCATGTGGTTGGGCGAGGTGCTGCTCCAAAATCAGATCCCTATCAAGGAGCCTGTCAAGGTCTCATTCGTCCTTCAGCCATGGCAAAACAGTTTGCCGGACATTGCAACAACGGATGGCAACAATCGTCTCAACGCCAACAGGATGCTACGTGTGAAGAAGATCTTGGCCTACGTTGCGGAACGCATCGATCCCCAGCCAGAGAACCCTGAGCCGGATGCTCTC